AAAAAAAAAAAAGCCGCGATCGCAATCCAAAAAAAGCCGCGATCGCGATCTGCGGCGGCAATTCGGCGGGAGGTCCTTCACTCCCAGGCGGAGTGAGGGATCGTCCGCCGAATTGCCGCCGAATACCCGGACCTGCCGCCCCTCTCCGGAGCGGCCGCCCCAAGCACCTACTTGAGAAGCTGGTGCCTGGAGCCGGCCCTGACTCCACGACCATGATCAACGGTAGCTAGGTCACCTGAAGCATTTTTCCATTGACTTAGGTTTGTGTGCACTAGGGAGGGGTTAGTTTGGCGTAGCTATAGCGCTCCGGAAGGGTGTGTGTGTGTTTAGATGTTTCACATGCCCTGAGTGACATAGCTATGATGACCTAAGTTTTAAGTGTAGACCAGGCTCTTGTTCAAGTTAATGGGTGTGCCAGGCACTCTTTCAGACTCAGCAGAAGGAGCAATCAAGACTCTTTCTGTAGTAGACACAGCTAAAAACAATGTAGGGACTGCCCAAGGCACACAGGAGGTCAAGAGCTAAGCCATGTGGGCTGAGGGGTTTCCCTGATTGCAAACACAAGGGCTAGTATGTTGGTTTTGCACCCTGCTTATTGAATAGCAAATTGAGGGGCTGCTGTCATTTGACTGTGCATGCCAGAGCAGACTGCATTTGATACAGTCTCTTGTACAGTGGGGCCAGAATTTTTTTTAAAAATGGCTAAAACAATGTAGGGACTGCCCAAGGCACACAGCAGGTCAAGAACTAAGCCATGTGGGCTGAGGGGTTTCCCTGATTGCAAACACAGGGGCTAGTATGCTGGTTTTGTACCCTGTCCAGAAACCAGCTGAAAGCCTGGAGAAGTGTTACGAAACAAGGAGAGAGACATTGCTTGTTGGGCCTAGAACTCACTTCAGAGGCAGACTTGGGGATTTCTCAGCAAGGAAGTTGCCTGCTGTTGGTTTCTCTTATGCTCAGGAAAGCGGGACTTTCTGTGCATTTTCGTAAGCAATCAGGTTTACACCAGAGAATATACCTATCACCAATTCCTCATCCTAATAGAAACAGTCCTCCAAGACCCCAAATATTGGGTAGCTGCTCGGCCCGAAAGGGGCAACAATCGGTTCGACTTACCGATCCTCCATGTGGAAAGTTGGGAAAGGAGTCAGGAGATGGTACGGTCCAGTCAGATCTGCTCAGAATGAGTGGATGTCCTTGGGAAGAGTCATTTAGCTCGCCTTCTTTGCTGCTACCTAGGGGGAAATCGCTGGGAAGAGCGGAACGCCCGCACCTTCAACATTGAGGGCACCTCATACGCCTTGCTGGCCTTGCTGAAAATGAAGAAGTATGAGTTGACCGGTCCCATAGTCAGATGGCTGAGAGAGCAGAACTACTATGGCGGGGGATATGGATCTACCCAAGTGAGTATGATCCTTATAGTCCTGGGTATCCTTCCGAGACTGTTTTGTGGGAAGGCCTCCCATCAGAAGGGATCAGATTCCGATCACTTGAGTCATTGTAGAAAGCCCTGGAGAATGCCCGTTAGAGAACAATCCTGCATTGCCTGGGAGATGGGCAACGTGACCTATCAGGTCTTTGCCATTGTTAACCTAAGGCAGAGACCAGCATAGGAGCATGACTGAATCTTCTCACTAGAGACTCCATCCTGCCAAGGTGATGGGTGTGAGCACATGCTTCTCTTTAAG